AACAGCTCAGCTGTATGGATTTCTGTCTGCCTAACCTCACTGACCCTATGTACATTCAGTAACTGAGAGAAATAGTTCTTCCGCCTATTCAAAATGTGGGAATCTGCAAGCAGATCACCATTCTCATCCTTCACTAAGTTATTGCTAGGCTGGTAACCCCTCTTAAAGTCATTTATTCCTCTATACAGGTCTCTAATGTTCTTGTTCTCACTGTTCATTGTAAGTTCCTCAATTTTGTCTTTCAGATATTCCCTCTTCTTGTTCCTGAAATGCCTTCTGGTTTCACGTCTTATATTGTTCAGATTATCCCTGGTTATTTCGCTTGGATGCTATAACCATTGCAATTTGGCTTGTTTTCTTTGGTTTCGTAATTTTGATCATCCTTCATCGAACCATGGCTTATGCTTCTTCAGTTCATAATAACCTAGACTCTCTTTGGCAGAAATTTTCATATTCTCTCTAATAGTTTCCCAAGCTTTATTAACATCCACCTCAGTGTCCAAGTTTTCCAAAGCCCCGAACTTATTTGAGATTTCAAGACGATGCTGCTCTTTACCATCTACCTTGTTTAATTTCTTGAGACTGAACCTCTCCATATGAACTCTGTGTATTGTTTGTTTGCTCACTGACAGTCTTTCCCTAACCTTTTACACCACCAGGTAGTGGTCAGTATCACAGTGTGCTGCCCTGAATGATCGGACATCGATATACTTGAGTTGCATCTCCTATCTATCAAAATATGGTCTATTTGATTGTGTATCTTCCCATCCGGAGATGTCCAGATAAATTTATGGATGTTATGATGTGGGAACATTGTACTTTTGACAGTCAAATTTTTTTATGTGGCAGAGTTTACTACTGCAACTCCAGTATCATTACTAATTCCTTGCAAACTCTCATTCCCAATCATTGGTTTGAAAATGTCTTCCATCCCTACTTTGGCATTGAAATCTCCTAGCAAAATTTTCATAGGGTACTTCGGGAATTTATCAAATACATGTTCTATTATTTCTTACTGAAAACCGTCGCAACACAACGTCAATAACACTTGTAAGCAGCTCTAGAAGATTCCTTTGCTACATGTTTTGGCCTTCTATAAGGCCATCATGATGCAAATACATGAAACCTTTCTTTATTGAATTGCATGTTAAATATAAGTCACAGTGCTAAAGTTCCAAGTATGCAATAGTATAAAATGATATGAGTGGATACAAATATAAGTTACAATAAAAGTTAAAATCTTAATTGATCAGTTACATAGTCAAAAGTATAGTTAAAAATTGTATATGAGATGGTACTTGGAAGTTCGTAGTTGCAATCGTAATACATGTAATACCTTATACGGACATATTATATACAAAATAGCTGATATGGTGTTCAGTGGCCCGTTGTTATGTTGTATGTTATTGCTTAATATTTTATACCCGGAAATAATATACCATTGGTAATATTTGACGGGTGGCTCCATTGTGGAAATGTCCGATTTGATGGAGAGAGAGATTATTTCAGTAAGAAATAATATATGATACACAACAGGATGCATTCATTGAAAAATACGTGTTCTAGTTCTTACAGAAGCGGAAACTATATATGATTATTTTATGCAAGATGTTTCTACAACACACTGCAAATTGTTAAATTAATTTGTTTTACGAGATGTTTGGGGACAGACTAATGAGACAGATTTTGATCTACAGGGTTTCCGGACTTATATCCCTGTGATTCTTATCTGTAGGGAAACTTAAAAAATAAAGCATATTCAGGTGATCCCACATTCACTGGATGAATTTAACCACAAAATTTGTGAAACAGTTACATATATCGAGGTCACTATATTCAGACTAGTGCCAGTCAATCTTTTCAAGAGACTTAAATTCTGTTTGAGATCTTCTGGGATACATTCTGGGCATGTACTATGATTACAAAGTCTTCTAAACAATTTAGGCACTTTAAGAAAAGCAGGCCTCTATTTATAATGTATAATATACAGGGAGATCGAAAAGTCGCGCACATCAAACTAAAAGTGTTATAAATTGTATTGCAGTTAATATAGTTATATCTCCTACCACTAGATGGTACTGTAGGGAGT